AACGCCGGATTCATAGAAGTAGTTAATTTAGTGATGGTAGTATATAAAAGATAGGTTGTGTATAAGGATATAATATAGGAAGGAAGAAAGTTATGAAGTAATTTTAATCTTAAGGTTTAAGGGAAGATAATATAATATATAATAGTTTAATGTTATTTGGTTTCTAATATGGAAATATCAAGTAAAACTGCTGAGAATTTAATTAGGTATCATTACGTCATTACAATTCTTATGTATATACTCACTTGATAATAAGATGATCGTAAGATTATTTGTAGTTTATGATGAGGATATTAGAAGCGCCTTACTGTGTTTTAGCTGAATGATTCGGTCGTGAATCTTTCATTATTCTCACCAGTTGACTGTTGATGTTTAAAATTCCTCTCCTCGGTTACGCAAGAAGTATTTTGAGTATTTTTCTGATAAGTTTACTTTATTATCGTAATGTGGAAATTAAACTTTTCATTTAGGATCTGAAGTATTTCATTATCTTAGATTGAAGACATTGAACTGTAATTTACACAGCTATACAATTCATTCGTTCACATCTGCATATCACATTTTCTACGTGTTGATATTAATTGTTTACTGTTGTTGTATCGTCGTAGTTATGAAAAATTGTTATTTATCTGAGGAGTCTCACAATAGGACGAAACGGCTGTGCAGTGCTCCCAGGTTTTTCATGGTGCTCTAGCTCCAATCGACTAATGATCTCAACTATATAAAAAAAAACAAAATAATATAAATAATTCCCGTTAATGCAATGAGAAGACGAAGTTTATCAGAGGTAATGTGATATATTAGCGCAATACATTACGAACAATCTGATCACACATATACTTGTTAAGACATTTTTTATATGAAAATTAAAAGGTCAACTAGACAGGTTAAGGTAAGAAAATAAATAAAGTACACAAAAACAATGTGATAACTTCTCTGGATTGATAAATAATAAATAAATTATTTTTCACTGTTATAAAGATAATTTTTCAAAGTTGAAATCATGAGTCAATTGAAGCTAGACCACCATCGAAAACCTGGAAACACTAGACGGCCGTTTCGTCCTATTATGGGACTCCTCAGCAGTGCGCATCCACGAACCCGCTCTCGTGACATTCGAACCCAAGACCTACCAGTCTCGAGCCGAAGCCTTTAACCGATAGACCACTGAGCTGGCATCCAACGGTGTTAATGTCTAACTTCAACTGATAAAGATAATTGCCAAGATAAACTGATCAATTTAATGTAATCACACACTCAAGCATTGCCTATATTAACAGAAATATAACAAGTATACATGTGTGATCAAATTGTTTGAAATGTATTGCGCTAATATATCACATATTTATACGAATATATTCGTCAAGATTAGAACGAATAGCTTGACAAAAATTGAGCGTCGAGTATAGAGAAGTCATTATATGTGAAAAATTATATTTGAAATAATCTCAGCGATTGACATTTAAATAATTCCAACGTTTCGTCCAGCTAAATTGTTTGGACTTCTCCATCATCAAAGAAATATATGGTGTTTTCTAACAATCATATAAAAATATATAACTACGTTAAACCAATCATATTTGAATGTTGAATTTTTGTAAACAGGATAAATATGAGTCAGGTAAATGAGAATCAAGTGAAAAGTTCAACGATGTGAAATAAAAGGAGACTGAATGAATTGTGTGTGTATGTATGTATGTGTAAGAATGAGTTATTAATGAATGATATTCGGTGTTGATATGTTTCTATGTGAAATAAAAATAAAAGTGCAAAAATTGTTTCTGAATCATTGAATTGCAAATAAAAATGAGAATCTTCAATTTGCACTTTTATTTTTATTTCACATAGAAACATATCAACACCGAATATCATTCATTAATAACTCATTTTTACACATACATACAGATACACACAACTCATTCAGTCTCCTTTTATTTCACATCGTTGAACTTTTCACTTGATTCTCATTTAACTGGCTCATATTGTCCTGTTTACATAAATTCAACATCCAGATATGATTAGTATAACATAGTATAGATTTTGATTATTACCCTGATGAAGTCCAGACAAGTTAGCTGGACGAAACGTTGGAATGATATAAATTTCAATCGCTGAGATTATTTCAAATATAATTTTTACATATAATGATATATCACGTAGTTCTTATTACACTATAGAAATGTATCAAAGGGACTAATTGCTTTAAAGATACATTATTATTAAAAGTAAATGTATTCTACTTTTCTATCTGTTGAAAGTTGATAATAATTCAATCATTCACTTATTTGTTGAGTAAAGGGGGGGGTGAATAGTCTTATGTTGAAAGTACACGAAAAGTGTAATTTTAAGCCACTTTATTGTATAATGCCAAGTGTATTTTGTTCTTACTTTTTAAAATTAAATTTGTATTGTATAAAATTTCAGTGATTATCTAATTACTGTAACATTTTTCAGACAACTTTAAAAGGGTATTTATGTAATTCACTTAGTATTCTTTGTTTGGATCTTCCCATCGAGTCCTGGATTCCACTAGAACTACGGTATATCGAGGCAATACGCACAGTATGCACATACGCCAATTAGAGACTGACCAGTTGCAGTCATAAACACATCGATGGGAAGATCCAAACAAACAATACTAAGTGAATTCAAACTTCACCCCATCGCACAAGCAAGCGGCTATCAGGACTCAGTGTCCAAGTGGATAACGCGATGGCGTTTGAAGCGAGGGTACTGGGTTCAAGTCCCAGAGTGAACATCAACTCTGAGATGCAGGTACATCCAGCTGACGAGTCCCGAATAGGACGAAACGCGCGTCCTGGATTCCACTGCTAGCCGCTATCCATCTCTGCTTACCATGGTATTTATGTAATATTTAAAATTGTAGTACTGAGAAAAAGTAAAATGGAATAAGATTATGTGTAAGAATTATGAAATGATAATTGTCTGTTTGATGAATATAAAAAACTCATAACAATACAAATATTAATAACCACTACTACTTCTACTAATTATTTTTTAAAATTTTATTTAAACACATAAATATTGGTACAAAAATCATTAGATAAATATGCGCCTCACAAATCTCATTCGATTTGTGTGAGGGCTGAGATACTGCCCAGGTGCCCACACTGAAGCAGGTGGTTTTCTTAGGGGGCCACACCCCGAGCCTTTGACCTAAAGGTCTGATCCACAATGCAGTGGAGCATCGTGAGGAGATGCAGTCCCATGGTAGCCGGTGACCAACAATAGGTTTATACGCCATTCGTTTCATCAGGATCCTGGAGCCCATGTGCACCATTGGTTTGGAATCAGGGTTTTTCAACTCCCCTAAATGGACTCGCCGTGATCACCAACCCGGTTAGAGCGCCTGACATTCGCTCTTCGTCCTCTCAATTTCGTAAACAACACCCCCGCTACGAGAAGGCAGTGAGTAGGACTTCTTTGGCAGAGGCTATATATTCGCGTGGCCGTGTGAGAGCATTTCGAAAGGTAGAGCGAACTCTCCCCACTCTCGGCCGTACCAGGGCATTTGGGGGCAAAGTGATTGTAACAACAATAGTATTAGAATCGTGGTAAGATCGGGGGTAAAAGAATGAATTCTCAGGGACTCCACTGCTCACAGGTTTTTAATATAACTTATTCAGAAGCTTTGAATTCAAGTCAAAATTGAATATGTGTATGCATCGTCATTATGACAGAGGTCAGTTATATAATGGTGTATGCTACTTATATCTGTTGACATAATTAGCATGTAACACCAATAAGAAGTGGAATACCTGACAGCAGAAGGTTGAGGCGATCGAAATGAAGAGAACAGGAATGCAAACAGCGAGTAATCGTAATTACAACGATTAAGTTGGTAAGCGAAAACTGATGGAAAATGTGCAAATCATACATTTAGTATATAGTTTTCATATTTTACGAAGACACTGCGTAATTTTGCATTTAACAATAAATTGGTCTTGCCTACCTAAATTCTCGTTCACTACACTACTAATAAAGACAACTAATGAGATTTCAAAGTTTCTACTAAATAAGTTATAAATTCTTGAATAATGTGATTATTTTATTATTGATTGTTTTGGGATTAGTGTGGACTGACTACTTATCTCGTCAAAAGTATGAACTGCGACAGATTTTTTTGTAAATTTAAATGATTCACTGAAGTTATTTCCCAAGTTTGACGTGATTTTCGACGAATTTGCACAGTTAGCAAAACAGTGGAAATTATAAAGATCAGAATGATAGTTCTGTTACTGTTAATTTTGTACAGGTAGTGGTTACTTTTAATTTTCTCCCCCCCCTGAAAAATGAACTTTTACTTCTTTTAACCTTTTGTTGATTGGAACATGAATTGAACACTAAACAAATTTGTTCAATAATATAACAACATTGTAAAAACTTTATATGAACGTTTCAATTCACTTGGTATTGTTTGCTTGAATCTTCTCATTGATGTTAAGGACTGCGATTGATCAATCTTTTATTGGCACATGTGCATACTGTGCGTATTGCCTCGATATAGTCTTAATTCACGAGCATTGTAAGCAAAGCTGGATAGTGACAATACTCACAGCATGCACATATGCCAATAAGAGACTGACCAATTGCAGTCGTAAACATCAAAGGGAAGTTTCAAACAAACAATGCCAAGTGAATTTAAACTTCACCCCATTGCACAAGCAAGTGGCTATCAGGACTCAGTAACTGAGTGGATAATACGATGGCCTTTGAAGTGAAAAGTACTGGGTTCCAGTTCCAGAGTGAACATCAACTCTGAGAAGGAGGCACATCCATCTGACGAGTCCCAAATAAAACGAAATGCATGTCCTGGATTCTACTGCTAGCCACTATCCATGTTTCTTTATGTGAATGTGTTTGCATATGAGTATCTCAGATTAAATATGTTTTTAATAAAGTTTAATTTATTATTATTAAGTATCGTTTCATTCTGCCTAAAAAAGCAGATCTCGTTTTATATTTTGTTCTTTATATAGGTACATTTAAAATTTGCAAAACAGAAATCAGTAGTCTTGGTTTTGATCCAACCATTCATCCAGTAGATCATGTATACTTTTTAAATCCAAAAACAAAAGTTTATCAAATAGTCAATCAACAATTATTTAATGATATTAATAATGGTGTATTTAGTTTATAAATTATTCTATTTGTATTATTCATATTTATTCCATTACATATTATTTATAATATCAACTATACACATCATTTCTATCTGTGTGTGTAGTTATTTTGTATTGTCTTGTGAAGTTAGTAACTAACTGATAGAAGAAACAAGCAAGCAACCCCCTCCTCCAACTTTTTCGATGTTTCAATGGTTAAACACCTTTTTGCCTTTTTTATTCTTTTTACCTTTCTCTTTACTTACTGTCTTATTTGTATTTAAAAATTCTTTTTGATCATTATTATTTATTATGTAATTCTAGTGAATTTGTTTAATGTTTCATTGTATCTCTTTTCATTTATCTATATTGAATATATACGAATATACGTCAAGGTTAGAACGAATAGCTTGACAAAATTTGGGCGCCGAGTATAGAGAAATCATTACATATGAAAAATTATATTTGAAATAATCTCAACGTTTGAAATTTATATCAATTCAACATTTCGTCCAGCTAACGTTGGTGGACCCTGAATAAGTCCAGACAAGTTGACTGGACGAAACATTGGAATGATATCAATTTCAATCGCTGAGATTATTTCAAATATAATTTTTTCACATATAATGACTATATTGAATATAGATCATGAAAAAAATTCAATGTGTGTTCTTTCTCTCTTTATACTTCCAATCACTTCCAATTGTGCATTATCATTTACATTAGTATTATATATATACATTTATGCATAACAAAGAAGAGATAATCATTATATTACTATCTGTTTTATATTGGCATAATTATTCAATTTTTCCGTAAAGAGATATATTTATTGAACATTTGAAAACAAACTAATGGAAGTATACATAATTAAGACATTCAAGGTTTCATTATAAACTTATAAAATGATGTTGAGAATATAAATACTACTTCAATTATTGTATGATTTTGATTAGCGAATGTTGAAACTTCCATAATTGTGCCAACATTCACTTTCAATAGATCATTTATATCAGTTATTCTTTCATGGAATCCTATTTATTATTGTATGATAAGCTTCTTTCTATTTATTCACTTAACTTATTGTTTATTTCATAAATGTAAAATGTAAATTATTGAAGTAAAAAAAAAATTACAATCATGATTAATGTACCAAGTATTAATTCCTTTATTTGATATACAACTCTTTTTTTCTTTCAAAAAAGGTTTATTTACTTATATTTGTAATTTACAATTTTTGTACTATTTCTGGAGAATACTTTTCTTCTTTTTTTTTTAATAAAAGAAACTTTGATATGTGTTCTGTTTTGTTGTATTTATGAGGGTAGCTACACGATCTCAATGTGTTTGGTGCTGTGATGTGTTTATATTTTGTTCGGTTGGTTGTAAATACTTGATCATGGAAGGTGGGGCCCTCAAATGCCCTGATACGGCCGAGAGTGGGGAGAGTTCGCTCTCTTTCTCTCCCTCTCGAAATGCTCTCACATGACCACGCGTACATAGCCTCTGCCAAAGAAGTCCTACTCACTGCCTTCTCGTAGCGGGGATGTTGTTTATGAGATTGAGAGGACGAAAAGCGAATGTCAGGCGCTTTAACCGGGTTGGTGAACACGGCGAGTCCATTTAGGGGAGTTGAAAAACCCTGATTCCAAACCAATGGTGCACATGTGCTCCAGGATCCTGATGAAACGAATGGCGCATAAACCTATTGTTGGTCACCGGCTACCATGGGACTGCATCTCCTCACGATGCTCCACTGCATTGTGGATCAGACCTTTAGGTCAAAGGCTCGGGGTGTGGCTTCCTAAGAAAACCACCTGCTTCAGTGTGGGCACCTGGGAAGTATCTCAGCCCTCACACAAATCGAATGAGATTTGTTTGGCGCATATATATCTGGTGCTTTTTGTACCAATATTTATATGTTTAAATAAAGTGCAAGGTGGGATAAATTAGTTCACAGTTAGTGGTATGACACTTATGTTAGCGGACAGTAGGAAAGAAAAGGAATAATTAGATAGTATACAGAATTACAATGATTAAATGAAATATGACTAGCCGTGAAATTGAGGATGTGCATTTCGTCCTATTTGGCAATCATCAAATCATTACAAACTAAAGTACATAAAGAATCCAAAATAGTAGTTCTCAATCTGTTGTGAATGTTTGGTGAATTCATATGAATTACTTATTGTAGCCCACTTACAAAGTTTAAACTGTTATCAAAGCGCTTTTTTTGTGATAAGCTTATTGATTCAAGGAGTACTCAGGTGTTTTCGTATATCTTATCAGCCTATCTGAGAATATGATTCTGCATACCAGTGTTATTGTTAGTCTATTAGAAGTTTTTAATATACACTATGATGGGCTCTATGATTGATCACATTTCTCAGATGGAATTAACTGATGATCTATTTTCTACTTTGAAGAATCCTGTTATTTTCTGATTTCAGAGTTTGTAGTCATTTGATGTTTTTTTTAGAAGATTGACCAAATATATTTTAATACTTGTCTTTACTATTTACTAACCTTTTTCGACTAAAATAAACATTTTGAAAGTAAAATTTACTGTTGGGTTCTTTTTGTTTTAAACGATTGTATTCAAAGAAGCTGGTATATGAAATGTAATTATTGTACTCTCTGTTTTGTCTACGATATAGGTTTTATTTGTTTCCTATATTGAAAATTTTTCCTCACATTAGTCATTGTAGCAGTAGTAGTATGGTGAACGCTGATCACAAAATTGCTTGTAAGTAGTATATATAGCGGAGCGTGGTTTCTAAGCTGTCATGGTCATCAGATGCGAGAAGATAGTTTGGATTGTAGAACACACCAATAGATGCAAATGGAAGGTTGGAGGCTATGTATGCGTATTGCATAAACACTTTGTAATTTTTCATAATGAACATTCAATCCTTGTGCCCAGTGCTTTGTTCTACAGTAAAAGTATTAGTAGTAGGATTTATTTATTTAAACACATAAATATTGGTACAAAAAGCACCAGATATATATGCGCCAAACAAATCTCATTCGATTTGTGTGAGGGCTGAGATACTTCCCAGGTGCCCACACTGAAGCAGGTGGTTTTCTTAGGAAGCCACACCCCGAGCCTTTGACCTAAAGGTCTGATCCACAATGCAGTGGAGCATCGTGAGGAGATGCAGTCCCATGGTAGCCGGTGACCAACAATAGGTTTATGCGCCATTCGTTTCATCAGGATCCTGGAGCACATGTGCACCATTGGTTTGGAATCAGGGTTTTTCAACTCCCCTAAATGGACTCGCCGTGTTCACCAACCCGGTTAAAGCGCCTGACATTCGCTTTTCATCCTCTCAGTTTCGTAAACAACACCCCCGCTACGAGAAGGCAGTGAGTAGGACTTGTGTGGCAGAGGCTATATATTCGCGTGGCCGTGTGAGAGCATTTCGAAAGGTAGAGCGAACTCTCCCCACTCTCGGCCGTACCAGAGCATTTGGGGGCATTTGCGGATAAATCTTTCGTCTTTATTAGTAGTAGGAAGGGGAATATTAAAGTATTTAGAATTTGTGTCACTATATATTCAATTGTTGCAAATGTAAACATACTTCATGTAGGTGCTAACGATTCAATTTCATCAAAATAACCTCCAAAGATAGGGATCGCATAATACTCAGGCGTTAAATGTTTACAATAGAATAGATCTTAATTTTCCTTATTGGTTGGCAGGACCAGCATGACTAGGTGGACATATTAGGGGCAATATAGAATTCTTTCGACATTCATTTTGAGTGTTCAGTGAATTGACGATTAGCTTGAAATGCTTATAATTTAAGTGTGATCATATTTTATACAATATATCCACCTTCAATCATCTAATTACACTGTATATACTTATATTTCGTGATATCAATCTATTCTCCTTGTTTTCCACCTTAACTTTCCAAGTTAATATTAAAAATATTTATCGGACAACAGAGAAGAAATTTCCAATTGTAAGTAGATGTTTTTTTTCTAATTTCTATGTGATTATTACTGTTATGCAAACCGAAAAAAGAAGGAAATGTGGTGCAATGAAGAACGCTAGCACACTACAAACAATAATAAAGTATAAATAAGTGAGATGTGTCATAACCAGAAAACAGTTAGCTTGATTTCTTACCCCTTGAAATGATGTACATAAACAAATGATATATAAATGCGAAAACTGGAGTCCTTTTAATTTATAGCAATATTAGGGAAACTAATTTATGATATCTAATTTACTGGTTATGTTAAGGAATATATCTTAAAAGGTTTATCAGTTTCTAGATAATTGCGTGACGATCAAGTGGATTTTGTATACTGTCAAAATTTCCCATATATCTATCTATATATAGTTATATCAGATGGGAATATCTTGTTCTTACATTTATTTTGCTTCCTCTACAAAATTTTATCCTTACAATAGTAGGATTTAATTCCATTGGTTATAAAAACGCATACTAAGATTTAACTAGATCAACGTTTTTTAATCTGATCACCAGTAACTTTTTAAATCGATTATATCATTTAAAATAATTTAACAAAAATCTATTGGATGCCGGCTCAGTGGCCTATCGATTAAGTGCTCTGGCGCAAGACTGGTAGGTCCTGGGTTTGAATCTCGTGAGGCGGGATCGTGGATGCGCACTGCTGAGGAGTCCCATAGTAGAATGAAACGGCCGTTCAGTGCTTCCAGGTTTTTCATAGTGGTCTAGCTTCAATTGACTCATGATTTCAACTATGAAAAAAGTCTTTTCAACTACATTTTCATAAATAATGTTATAAATTCAATATAATTTACAGTATATTTAAGTGCACCAGACGTTTAGGATTGTTTCTTTATTAAACCAGCCTGACTAGTGTAGTTACTACTATCGTTAAGAATGTTGAATTAGAGTAATGGCTTATCGGTTAAAGTGTCTGACTTTCAGCTACTGTGTCAGAAGTTCAAACCTCACTCTACCTACTTCGTTTTGAGCAACCAGGTATTATTAACACTCACACTTATAGTGTGGCAAGTTTCCAATTAGATGGTGAACGA